TCCCCGCCGCACGTGCAGCCGCTCACGCCGGTCTCCGAGACCTCCGAGCCGCCGGAGTCGCCCTCGCCCTACGCCGCCGACGCATTCGGCGTCGGCGGCCCCGGCGGCGACGGCCCGCCCCGCCACCCCGACGGCGGCGCGGGCCCCGAGGACGGCGACGGCGACGACGAGGGGGCCGAGGGCGAGGACCCCGAGCCGCCGCCCGCGGCGGTGCCCTTCAAGCGCCTCTTCGCCTGCGCCGACCGCCTCGACTGGGCGCTCATGGCCGCGGGCGGCGCCGCGGCCGCCGCCCACGGCGTTGCGCTCGTTGTCTACCTCCACCTCTTCGGCCGCGCCATCAACTCCCTCCACGGCCGCCACACCGACCAGCTCTTCCGCGACATCAAGCAGGTGCGCGCACGCCCCGTCTTCCCCCCCCCGCAGCAGCCGCAGATCTCACTCTCACTGCCATGCCGGCTCCATGTTTCGGTAGCTAGCTGGGTACTGGATTCGGTTACAACATTTGTGATAGTTCCGCCTAACTTGCTCAAACAGAAGAGGAGATGATCCTATGGAGAGATTTGCTACTGTCAAGTGCTGTTCTGATGTACTGTGTTTTTTAGCTGCCTGGTGTACTGTAGATGTAAATTGTAATTGGTGATGTTCTCATATTTGGCAAGTCACAGTTCTCTACTCGTGCGTGCTACTTAGCTTTACGGGATTATTGGCATCATAATTTGTCGGTGTTGGATGCGCCGCATATAGGAAAGGGATTATAATATATAGCATTTTGTCTGGACGGAATACCCACAAAGGAATTTCGTAAGGACGATTGTTTAAGTAGGGTTAAGCCGTTTTGTGGACGGGGTACCGACAAGAGAATCTAGTTCAGGTTGACCATTTAAGCAGGGTTAGCCAATTGAGTCCTGTGTACTACTTGTCGCTTTCCGCATATAATTCAATGATGTCCTGCCAGATCCGGATGGCACTTTTCCAACCAGATCATGACGTCCGACATGCTCGATGTGCGTGGCTAGCCGCATATCTTTCATTACTCCTGATAACGCATTTTTATGGTTTTTGAAAAGTGATAGATGCATCTGTTTAAGTAATGCTATATATTTATGGTTTTCCTGCAGTACCTGGGTGTAGTTGGCAATCTGGGTTCGCTTAGAACATTTGTGCTAGTTTCGTTCTATTTCTGCCTAATTTGCTCAAACAGAAGAGATGATCCTAGGGAGAAATTTGTTTAAATCAAGTGCTTTAGGACTGAATGTGAAGATGTGTTGTCTTAGTCCTGGCGTACTGTTCATATGAATTATAATCAATGTTCTGATGTTTGCTCTTTATTCATGCCTGCTACTTGGCTTCATGAGATTATTGCCATCACGACTTATTCGTAGTGAACAATCTGGATTCACTTGTGCATATTAGCCTATTAGGACATTTGTGCTACTAGTTTCATTTTATTTCTACCCGATTTGCTCAAAGAGGAGAAATCCGCTTAAATCAAGTGCCTAGGACTGAATGTGAATTGGTACTGTTAGAGTCCTGGTGCGCTGTTCATGTAAACTGCAATCGATGATGTTCTGATGTTTCGCAAGTCACAGTTCTTTACTCATGCATGCTAGTTAGCTTTACGAGATTATTGCCATCATACTTTGCCTGGGTTGGATGCGCTGCATGGGTTGCTTTATAGGAAGGGAATTATAGCATTTTGTCTGTATGGAATACCGACAAAGGAATTTAGTTAGGATGACTGTTTAAGTAGAGTGGAAGCATTTTGTGGATGGGATACCGACAAGAGAATTTAGTTCAGGATGACCATTTAAATAGGGTTAGCCATTTGAGTCCTGTGTGCCTGCCCTGCTCGGTAACGGCCAAGCGCATGGGTTCTTCTTTGGGCTAGACGACACGAAAGGGGTAAGGCGTGCACGACGTGCCCAAAAGTAGTACCCGTCGCTTTCCGCATACAATTCAATGATGTACTGCCAGATCTGGATGGCTCGTTTCCAGCCAGGTTGTGACGTCCGGCATGCTCGCTGTGCGTGACTAGCCGCATATCTTTCATTAGTTTCTGATAATACATTTTTATAGTTTTCAACTCCTGAAGATGATGCTACGGAGAAATCTGCTTAAATCACGTGCTTAGGACTGAATGCGAAAATGTGCTGTTCAAGTCCTGTACTGTTCTTTTTTAGGTGCTACTGTCAATATAAATTATAATCGATATGTACTGTTAATATAGATTATAATTGATGTTCTGATATTTGGTAAGCAGTAGTTATTTATTCATGCCTGCTACTTGGCTTTACAAGATTATGGTCATCATACTTATTCTATTTGCTGGGGCTGAATGTGCTGCATGTGTTTGCTTTAAAGGGAAGGAATTATAGCATTTTGTCTGGATGGAATACCGACAAAGGAATTTAGTTAGGATGACCATTTAAGTAGGTTTAACCATTTGAGGCCTGCATGCTCGCCCCACTCAGTAGTGGCCAAGCGCATGTGTTCTACTTTGGGCTAGACGACGTAAAAGTAGTAATTGTTGCTTTCTGCTTACAATTCGATGGATACCACCAAAGTTCGTGTCAACCAAAATCTGGATGGCTCTTCTCCAACCAGATCATGATGTCCGACGTGCTCGCTGTGCGGGCTGGCTGCATATCTTTATTGCTTCTGATAATTCATTTTTATGGTTTTCGAAAAATGATAGACACATCTGTTTAAGTAATGCTATTTATTTCGATCCAATATGATCTGACTATGCTCTGTAATTGATCTTACTGCATTATTGTGCTGAGCTCATACAATCTCAATTTGGAACCCCAACTTGCTATTATGATTTTCTACTTATGTTTACCTGATTAATTTTCTATTTCACTTGTTTGTATGTGAATTTGAATGCAAATCACACTTTCTACAAATCCATATGGAAGAAGAAAATCACTCTCGTGAATTTTCACAAGGTCATGCTTGAAATTTTGTTTGCATGAACCTTTGCATGTCTATGGGAAACTTGTAACTTTGTCACACTTTTCTGCACAAATGTTAGCGCTCACTTATCAATTTTGTAATTTGCCACGCTACGCTTAAATACTGCATATTAGCAGTCTTTTGTACGAGAAAATGTTTGTCTATCATTCACTTGTCTTGCTGTCTGCCTATAATAGTTTTTCTCTACCAGATTATTTGTCTTTGTGTTTTACAAGTCACCCTTTTTGTTGTTGGCTCTGCAGCACGCTTTATACTTCCTCTATATAGCCATTGGTGTGTTCTTTGCTGGATGGATAGGTAAGATGAGGCTGCATCGACTTATCAAAATCACTAAACGGTCCTTGTATGTTTACCAAATTTCAATAAGTCTGCTATATTTACAGAGGTTTCATGCTGGATTTTGACTGGGGAAAGGCAGACAGCAGTGATAAG